CTTGGTCAGATACGTGAAACTTCTAATGTGATGGCGTCAGCGTTTGAGCCCTCAGAAAACCACAGCCAAGAAAGGTGTCATCCTGCCACAACTTCCAGCAGAAATCCGGAGGCACTGCCGGCCGATCAGCTTAACGAGATTCCAGATTGCTTATCGTCACTGAGAAGACTCTCAGGGAAACCACAGCTTTTCATCTCATCCTTCCAGCCACAGATTAGGCTCTGCAATGGGCACGCAACCGCCACTGAGGGGCTATACACGCACAAGCTCACGTCAAGGGTTTGCTCGCTTGTTAGGCAAATGGTGTGGCTTGGTCAGATACGTGAAACTTCTAATGTGATGGCGTCAGCGTTTGAGCCCTCAGAAAACCACAGCCAAGAAAGGTGTCATCTGCCACAACTTCCAGCAGAAATCCGGAGGCACTGCCGGCCGATCAGCTTAACGAGATTCCAGATTGCTTATCGTCACTGAGAAGACTCTCAGGGAAACCACAGCTTTACATCTCATCCTGCCAGCCACAGATTAGGCTCTGCAATGGGCACGCAACCGCCACTGAGGGGCTATACACGCACAAGCTCACGTCAAGGGTTTGCTCGCTTGTTAGGCAAATGGTGTGGCTTGGTCAGATACGTGAAACTTCTAATGTGATGGCGTCAGCGTTTGAGCCCTCAGAAAACCACAGCCAAGAAAGGTGTCATCCTGCCACAACTTCCAGCAGAGATCCGGAGGCGTTGCCGGCCGATCAGCTTAACGAGATTCCAGATTGCATATCGTCACTGAGAAGACTCTCAGGGAAACCACAGCTTTTCATCTCATCCTGCCAGCCACAGATTAGGCTCTGCAATGGGCACGCAACCGCCACTGAGGGGCTATACACGCACAAGCTCACGTCAAGGGTTTGCTCGCTTGTTAGGCAAATGGTGTGGCTTGGTCAGATACGTGAAACTTCTAATGTGATGGCGTCAGCGTTTGAGCCCTCAGAAAACCACAGCCAAGAAAGGCGTCATCCTGCCACAACTTCCAGCAGAAATCCGGAGGCATTGCCGGCCGATCAGCTTAACGAGATTCCAGATCGTATGGCGTCACTGAGAAGACTCTCAGGGAAACCACAGCATTACACCTCATCCTGCCAGCTCTTCAACGCACGAGCCGCCGGAAACAAAGCCACAACATCATGTAATTTCATTTGGGGGTGGCTTAAATGTCTCAACAAAGATCGCCACGGGCTGGACAGTTGTGTAGAAATGACACCCAAGGAACAATTTGTCCTGACCCTAAGTGCCACTGGTGTGATGACGCCAGCTTGTCCACTCTCCGTAAACCATAGCTACGACAGCTCGAAATTTCTGATTGCATGCATTAGCTACTGCAAACAGGTAATCTCATCGACATCGACGGCGCTGAGAAGGTCACGGCTGGAACATCTCTGATGCAGCAACCACATGAAACAGATCAAGCCATGATGCAAAGCACATATTGCTGGCCTTTCCAGTAGGCAGGCGTCCGGAAGATGTGACCGACCTAGAACAAAAAGCAACTTCTTCTGTTTCGAGCTACGGAAATCGGATTGGATGTCCTCTCTGATGCAATTGTTGTCTCGAAGTCTGTCAAGACTGTCCGAGCCCGGCGCGGGGCTTCCTCGCCAAAGATTCCCGGATACAAGTTCAGGGAGCCAAAAAAGTGAGAGACGACTTGGCCATGCTGGGAGCAGTGTTGACATCAGCTGCTTACCAGCCTGCAGCATATTGGACAGGACACTTGGCGACATGAGACAGAGTCGAGAGAGAGGCCGAGAACAGAACAACAGCTCTGAGTCACATAACACTTCCTCATGTCCGAGGTCTGTTCCAGTAATTCTGGCAGCGTCTACACGATTTTGGAATCCACTTTCCAAGAGTTCAGTCACGAGGATCTCAGAAAACTTGGCGCTGAGGGAAGCACGTGTGAGCAGGGGAGATACTCAATGTCGCCCCCGCACCTGGGACATTAGAAAGCAGGCGGAGCCTGGACAAGATCACGAGAAGCCTTTGGCAGCGGTGCGATAGTCCAAAGCGCAGAACTCGATGAGCACAAGGCCATGGCGGACCAAGCAGACGGCTTTCAACATCTACGGAAAAGACCTCCCGACATTGCTGAAGTCTGAATCCTGCCACCTCCTTCGAATGCAGCCGGGTGTGAGTCGGACGGAAGGTGTTTCTCAACCGGGGGGTGCATAACCAGCTTCATTCTGATCCAAGGGGGTTCGCTGGTGTCGCAATTGACACCTCTGGGCGGCCGACATCCAAGTTCGGAAGCCTCAGCTCCAGCTTCGTGGCTTCTCGCCATACTTTGCAACTGACTTCCCCTTCTTCCAATTGTTTCAGCATGAGGTCCGTGGATTTCTAATTCTGCTGTCTTAGACTGTGCAGACGCTGCGAAAGCTTTCCGAGTTTCCAAGCCAATCTCCATCTCCTCGCCACCATAAAGACGCATCTCTGGATCATAGCCTTGAGACTCAGGACTCAGGGCAGGGGGGCGGGGCGGCGCGGGGTCGCGCCGGCTCCGCGGCAAATGCTTTCACAAGAACTCTAGGAGCGGACATCTTCCGGGATACCCTTTGCCAGATGCAGGGAAAAAACCACTTGTGGGAGAAAAGCCCTGCATCCCGGAAACAAAGCGGTAGAGTACAGAAGGCGAGCAAGACCGGCCAGTTCGGTCCAGCACCTCGCCTCTACATGCCTCTACTACGCCGGGTTCTCCTGCGCGCAGCTTTACAGTGGCCAGCTCTACAGCGGCGGAGAACCACGAGCGGAAGACGAAGCGGCGCTCGTCCACCCCTCCGCGGCCTCCGCGCTCCCAATGTTTTCACTCCTGGCGCGGAGCCGCCGGAGCCAGAGCAGCTTTGGCTCTGCTGCTCCGCTCTGCTCTTTCGTCAGACACTCTTCGTGATCTGTGGGTCTCCAAGAGCACACACTTTGCCTCTCCAGTACAAGTACAATGCAACATCTCCATGTCGTCACACCCCCGCCCTTGAACGGGACACCGCCTGTCAGTCCTTCGTGGTGCCGCAAAATCCCGTCAACAAGCCGTGGGTCAAGACGCCGCAGCAGCGGCAGTATGTTGTGTGTGCGTCCCGTTGACAATTGGCCGCATCCCTGCAGTTGCTATTGAAAACGGATTGATGCGCCGGCAGCTGTCCGCGCAAGCTAGCAGGCAACCCCTTCCGGTGATTTGCCTTTGGAGTGGCTGCAGTGAAGACACGTCTTTTCATCGAGCCGGTCTTCCGTGAAGCAATGTCAGCCATGCCGTGAAAAAGGCAGCAGCAGAGCCTTCCCGAAGTGCTGCGAGAGCCCGAGCCATTTTGTCGTCTTCTCTTCTTCTCTGCCTGAGACACCCTCGGAGTCCGAGCCCTTCCTTTCGCACAAGCCCGCTTCAATCCGACCAAACAGCACACCTTCGCAAACCCTCGTTTGCAAACGGTATTTTAAAACCTTACGAAGCCACAGAGCCACCTGCACTGTCTCGCGCGGCATATCCTCAGTGGAAAACTACATCAAAAGTCCTAGAATGCCAACAGCTACACAGCCCTAGCAACAAAACCAACTAAGGCCACTGGCAACCGAAATTCAGCGCAAGAAGCAAGAATCGCCTTTACAATAACGTTGACAAGGGAATCGACTGCCCATGAAAACGATCACTCACAAAAAACTCACGCTTGAGCAATCTTGAGCCGATTAGTGCGGCAGCAAGGCTCGGCCGGTTCATGCCCAGGGCACAAAAGTCCGTCATGACCGACAGACCCACATTCAGTCTGATGCCAACACACTATTGCTTGGACGCTCCTCAGCCTGAGCATTAGTTTTAGCTCGTCGCTGAAGAGGCAGGAAGCCAAAAGTTGAACATAATCTGCCTCGGCGATCTGTCCAGCAGCCCGTGCGGAGGAGCATTGTTGCGGCTCCCGATGATGTACGAATCTATGCTCACCACATGTGGCCACAGTGCCCAGGCTTTGGGGCAAAGCACCCTCCGCAGATAAGGGCTTCGAGTCGGCTTGGAGGTTCTCCGAGCCTGGAGCTCGCCGGAATGCTGTTCGTGACAAGGCCTACTTGCTCAAGGAGTCTTGCAGGAGGAAAGGCAAGCACTGCAGCAGGCATGAGCTCACTCACGACGTGGGCTCAGTGCGGCTCTATACGCTCGAGAACATCCAATCGGGACTTTGACCGGCAAAGCCGAGTGAGACATCGAGGGATTCGGCTCGGCTTTGGAAAGCTAGCAGTTCGCAACGGAACCGGACGGCGGTGTCCTCTGCAGCCGTCGAGCGGTCTCTGCCAGGCTTTCACGGGTTTATAACAAAATAAGAAATGTAAATCTGACTGCAGCGCAGGGGCCGGGCATTGGGCACAAGCCCTGAGGAAGCGTGCAGTGGGAGTGTCAGGGGCCCTTGTAGGTTCGCGGCACGAGATTGCAGGGCTACCAGCGCTCAACGACACGACCTTGGCCAGGTCTCCAAACTTTCATCGGAATTCTCGACACCATACCGGTCCACCCTTCAAAAGACCTCAAAGTTTCTTGAAGGTCCGCGAGGTGTTTCTGACAGATCAGGTGCATTGCCTACAACAAGCGGTTCTGTGACTGCAATCTCAGCTTTGGCATACTAGCCGCATGGCTAAGTATTCGAAGCCATCCTCTGAATTCATCGGAATGTTGCCGCCCGGAATCTGACCGTCTGTGATCCATGAGGCTCGGGCACACGAAGCACGAATGCATTGGAACGGAAACCGTGTTCGGAGAGTGCGATCAGATATCAGATAACACTTTCGGTGGCCTAGGGGCCTAGGACCTCGGGTGCCTTGATACATCGTCCACAGAAGCTTCGTCAAATAAATGAACCTCCGCTGACACACCCGCTTGGCCCTACGTCTTGTGCGGAGGCCTTACGACTGGCATTTGCTTCCTTATGACAGTCTGTGCGAATGGCGAAGATCCGAGCGGCTCTCTACGAAGGCGGAAGGCCGGCGGCGCTATGGCTGGGTCTGCAAGCATGGCATGGCCATGCCTGCACTCCCGTCTGTATATCCCAGGCTTGGCTGAGACACAGCCGTCATTTCGAGGGTGCAGGTTATCTGCTGCATCACGACGGAACCTGGCCAGGAGCATACGGCGGCGGCGTGAAACCAGCACCCAAAAAAGCACACGGACTGGGTTGAAGAAGTGATACCTCAAAGTGCTACTGCGCTCTGACTCTCTTTGCACACAAGTGCAGCAAGGCTTTGCAAAGATGTGACTCGAGGGAGAAGTTCAACGATAAGCCATGCGCACGAAAGTCGAACTGAGCGCCCGGCTATCCACAACGGCCTCGAGGCAAAAGGTCCGCATAGGCTCTCAATAGATCGTTGAGGGTAGGGCGACTGTACTGCGCCCGTCCGTGTGCCTCCGGGTCCGTACACAGCACCGCCAAGAAGCGATAGGGGCCATTTCCCAAGGCTCGACCCTGTGTGTCCTGTGTTCAGGGGCGTTGGTTCGAGTTTCAGGAAGTCGAAGCTTTTCGGTGCTTTCGGAAATGTTTGCGCGGCAACCTGGCATCAGATCCTTCGGGGGCTCAACTGCAAAGAGCTACCCCTGGAGCTGCTCTCCACTCACCCAGCAAGCCTGCGGGACTCTGTTACGGGCAGACCTCTGAGTGGCCCTGTTTGCACCAGCAGACTAGCAGATCCCCAAAACTCTGGATCCTTTGACGTTCTTCGCGGATGCCAACACCCTTCCAATCTTCTCTGCAAAGCTCGCGCGACCCACAAAGACTGTGTGCTTGCGCAACCCGCGGAAAATCAACGACAACACGTCAGGGACCAAGGCACAAAAAACCCTGGAAGTTTCATTTTATTTTTGTGTTTCGGCTGTGTAGCACAGACTGAACTTGTCTTCGACGCTAGCAGGCGCAGGGTCTCCTAGTTTTTCTCTGCCTTCTTCTTCACAAAGGCCTATCTGTTTTTTTCTAAAGGTAAAAACCTTTGCGTGCCGCTTCGCAAAGACAACGAGGCTTTCTAGGGCTTCTTTACACTAAACTGTCCGCCCAAGAAGCCCCGGAGACGGCAGCTAGCAGCCACATAATTTTTTTGGGGGAGGGTTATTTCGGGGAGCCTTGTTTTCCAGGATAAGATGTCGGATATCGGACTTTTCCACGTTTTGTCGGAGGCTTAGGCCTTAGGCTCCTCCTCGATACGCCAACGCTGGACTTGCTGCCCACAGCTGGACGCACTGTCAGCTTCGGGCGCGCGGCAATTCGGACAAACCTTGGGCCACAATGGCTTGGGGCTTGGGCTGGGGGCTTGAGGGTGGGTTTAGGAGACTGAGGATGAACATATTGGCAGCTTGATGTAGATGCTCGTGCTTCTGGGCATTGGCACTGGGAATATTAAGAAAGAATGTCAACGCCCCACGAGATCGACGCGTTTCCATGTTTATAGTGCACCAGCAGCGCAACCCGGACCCCCAAGCCTCAACAAACCATCCTCTGACATACACTCAGACTTGCGAGGACAGGTCCCAGACGCGAGCGCAAACGAAGGAAGCACATCAGCAAAACAAGAACATCAACAGACTGCTCTACTGCTCTACAGATCCCAAGTTCCTAGGACACATCCCCCTTAGCTTTCATGCTTGCGATGCTCATGCTCAGCAATGCTTTCTAGGGCGTTCCGCGTTCCACGCAAGTTTCGAGTGCCAAGAGGCGCCGGATTGTCCTGGCCGAGTCGTCTCATTCCTCGGCACGTGGCCCCGAGGCCGGGGCCCTGAACACGGACTCTTTTACGCAAACTCGATTTGCGGGGGGAAGGTGCGCGCATAATCTTGTGTCTTGTGCCAGAAGACTGGGCTCGTGATGAAGGCACTTAGACTTATCCGCGGAACAGAAGCATGGACGCACAGACCCGAAGCAACCGCCTAAGACATCTTGAAGGTCTCGTCTGCCCTTCTGCAATTTGCGTAGAAAGACCTGAAACACACACTCGCGGGAAGAGTAAACACTTTCGCAGGCTACGGCATGAATCGCCACCCTTGAATCCTTCAGGTGTGGGTGCCAGACCCTGAAGCCCTGACCCTGGTGCAGGATCTAAAGCAAGCGAGCTGCACTGATGCACGAAGGTGGCGCCGTAAACATAGCGCGTGGAAGTAGTGGCCGCATCTGCGTGGGCTTCGACTTCACTGCTTGGGGGCTTCAGTGGTTTTGGAAACAACAGGCAGGGGTTGGATTGAGGTTCGGATGCCGACGTTCTTGCGGTAGCTACGGTCACTACAACTGCGCTGCAGGAGCGACTTGGAATCCTGAGCTCCCCGTCCCTGGCATCATACCCACAGGCCCCATGGCTGTTCAGTACGGGCCGTTGGGTGATGTGAGTGCAGCGAAAATGCGGGAACGCCGGGGCGAACCGAAAGACATGCCAGCCTAATAGATGAGTTTCGAAATCATGTCCCTTTGGCTGCTTTGGCTCCTTTTTTCCATGCTTCGGAGGCAACTTTGTGCCGAAGCCCGCTCCCGCTGCAGCGGCTGAGTCTTGGAGGCCCTGCAGATCTCGAGCTCGGCGAGCTCGGGGAGCTCGGAGGACCAGGGCCGCATTTTCTAGTACGTCCGGGTGTAGATGACGATGTACTCTGGGTAGAGATTTTCAGTGTCGAAGAAGACAAACTCCCGGTAAGTGCCCCGGCACTTCTTCCGGTCCTGAGCCAAAGCGCCGAGGGCTTCGTCACTGCATAAGGGCCAGGAGAAGACTAGGTTCGCTAGTATCGCCTCAATAAAGAGGGTACCGGGTAATTACCCTTTATGACTTGTGTAAAAAAATGAGATTTCACCAGAAAGGGCTTGAGGGTACTAGTACTACGTACCGGAAAATCGAGAAGCACTTCCTAGTTCAGATGTCCCGCGAATCTCAGGCTGCAGGCCACAGACTTAGAGGTGGCCAAGAATCGCCCAAAACACAATCGTACGGCCCCTCGATGCAGCTGCGAGTGAGGTCCTGCAGCACTGGACCAAGCTTGGAGAAGTCTTGGTCGCTGGGTGCAGGTGACAGGTGCGGTGCCTGGCAGAGCTTTCCTGGGATTTCTGTGGCGAGATTCGGGTGTTCCACATTTGATTCGCACGCCACGCTGCGAAGGTTTGCAGCCCTGTCCTCTGCATCTGGTTCGACCTCATCACCTGGCTCTCACGGAAGTATTGTAAGTAGCTCTGAAACTCTGCAGCCGTGGCCGAATTCGTTTGATGTGTTCCTTCAGCTAACTGAGGCTTGCAAGGGCTTTGCATGGGTGTTTTCGCAGCCTGGGCATGAGAATTTCCAAGGCTAAGCAGCTTATCCGCACGAACAAAAGCCCGTGCTGCTTGGTCTGCGGACCCTGCAACGTTTGGCGAGTTGCAGTAGCGGACACGGCCGCCCAAAGCCCTCACCAGCAACATGGCATACTCCCCATCTGCTGCCTTTGCGTACCTGGGAGTGCACTGCTCTGCTGCTCTGGGCCATGGCGGAATTTCCCGAACTCTGGAATTAGCCATGCTGCTCGTCAGCCTTGGTGATGGACTCCGCGAAGTAAGTGCCACGGCCATAAAGGGTTCCCGTACTATCCTTGCCAACTCCAGAACAAGCATGCCCCTGTAAGATCTGCTGCAAGGTCGATTTTTCCGAGTCACGCCAGCGAGGCTGATGCGGAAGTCGCTGCGACCTTTGCTTTTACAGGACTTCAGCTTCGCCTTTTTCCGGACTTATGATTAGTTCAAGCATCCGATCCTGGAGCGACCGTGAACAGCAGCCCAGGTGCAAATGGCAAGCGCTGCGGGCGGAGCCGTCCCATGAAAAAGCACCTGGAGTGCTTTTCCGACAGGTTAGCAAGGCATCTTTTTGGGAAAAGATTTCGAGGCGTCCCCCACCGACGACGTTGCGGCATGGGGTCTCGGAACCAAGATTGTTCATGCTGTCGAGAAGCACTGTCTAGTTTGAGGACGCTGTTGAGTTCATGGCTAAGGCCATAAGCATTTCTCTCCAGAAGGATGCAAAGAACAACTAGTTCAACCATTCGAAGAACCTTGTGAGCACCTCGCAAGTACGGGGCCATAGCTTGTCCAAGCTCAGGCTTACCGCTCATGCACGCTTCGCGACCACTACTGGGAGTGCATCAGTAGTGATGCCAGGGGTGGGTTCAGGCAGCTTTCCAAGCGGGGAGCCAGCTCCCCGCTGCCAGTTCTGCCGGAGCACCCACTCGTTGCATGCACGCTGAAGAGGCTCGATGCCAAAGGCGTGGGTGTAGCTAGCCCATTCCTAGACGGCTTGTGGAGCGCTGTGTGTGTTGAATGCAAGGCCTAAGCAAATGTGGGCATCAGCTGTCTGCCGCAAAGACGCCGCACTAGGCTGCACATCGTAGAGCTGAAATGGAGGCGTCCTGTCTTTGGCATCTTTGACCAACTCAGCCCGCCGCACCACGTACTCCTGCCTCAGCACGGGGGAGAACAAAGCAACAACACCAAAGGACGCATGTCTATTATGCATGCATCATGCATTGCATGGCAAAGTAAGGCAGCTGCCAGTTCTTCAAGTTCTCGGCACGGTAGGCACGCACCACCTTTGCAGCTCCAACGATGTCTGGGAATTTCAATTGCTTTCTGCAGGATCAGGTGTGCACCACCGTCGCCTTTCATCAGACCATGTACCACTGTGGTTGGAGTGGCACGCTGTGCCATGCGACTTGTGCAGATCTTACAGATGGATTCCACAAGCCTCGCGGAATCACGAAAACAAGTCATCCAACAGGCCAGGCCACTCGGAAGGCACGCGGCACGTTCGGGTTGTCAGGGTGGTGACGTTTCCGATCGCGTGTCCACGCGTTGCTGTACGTGCTGTCCTCGACTGTTGGGGCCATCTATGGCTCCAAGCTTCTGGGCACAACGCAGAGGCACCAGCGAGATACACCAGGAAAGTGTTGGGTTGAAGCCGGGCTGAAAGAGCAAAGAATGCAGCAAACCGCGGCATGGAGTTGTCTCTGTCTCTGCCGAGTTGCAAGGAGCCGTTGCAGCAGGTGGCAGTGGTCTGCTGGCAGTGGAACGATGTGCGCTCCTCGCGATCAACGAGGGTTGAGGGCGCCGTTGGACGACCAGCGTGTTGTATTGCGGTGACACGAAGACAGGGTTTCGACTCGACTCTATTCAAACTAGTACGACTAGACCTGTGAGCACCATCGTGGGCCGGGTGCTTATTGAATGGACGGCGGGTCTCGAAACATGCGCGTGCCATCGTTCATGACGCCATCAAATGCGATTAAGCTGATGAGCGAAGATGCTGACGAGTCGCTACAGCAGAATCGGCAGTGGGAATGATTGAACGCAGATAGCGCGGCTTCGCTTCCAAGCTGTGATGTGCATCAAGCACTCCGTTGCGGCAAAGAAAAGAAGCTCAACGCCGGAGCTATTGAAGCTCTTAGTGTCTTAGTCTCTTAGTCTTAGTCCTCCCGCCTGAGGAGGCCTCTTTCGAAGGTCGTGCTGCTGAGGACCAATGCTTTGGCAGCGGCACGGATCCCCTGACAGGAGCTAAAATCTGTCCGACTTCTTTTGGGTTTGGGGTTCATGTCGTGGGTGCTTCGGCGCCAGCGTATTACTTGTCTGATCTCTTCGTAGGTTGAGGCAGGGCAAACAACAAGAGCCTAGGTCAGGTCACTGCATGGCACTTTCCAGAAGCAGCCACGATGTCTATATGCCGGTCGAAGGATGGAGTTGGGTCCGACTCCTGGCAACAATCCTTCAAATTATGCTCCCAGAGGCATTTCTCGTGGTGCGCCGAGACGATGAACCATCCTCGGTGTCTCAAAGCATCCGTACAGTTTTGGCGAAGTCGAAGTGCCCCGAAGCCGAGCGGGCCTTTTGCCTGCAGTCCCACGGAATGGATTGTGAGCTGGGCTGCTTCTGCTCGTCTGGACTGACTGGCTCGTCTTCAGATCTTTAGTGAGCTTCACGTGAACATCTAGTTGGCCTGCACCCCGCCAGCGTTCCAAACATGGACATGGCTTGTGCTCTTCCGAGAGTCTTCTTGTGTCCTCGGATGCCGCATTCTGAGCACAACGCTCGAGGCTTCACAGCATCGAGAAAGTCTGACTGGACTGGTGCGATGTTTGGAGCCCAGGCTGCCAAGCTCCTAGGACGACCTACTGGTAGTCCGAGTCCCTGCTCGGATCTCCCGAAGACGCCCTGAAACTCCCGAAGACGCACCCGCTCGCCCCGCTCTTTCTGCCGAATCTCCGCAGATGCAGCTGTCGAGTCGGTCTTGGATTCCTGGTAGCACAGCCGGGGCCCAAGACTAAGAGGCTGCCATGTTGTCGCTTACGGCCTTTAGGATTCCAATGGGGTCAGCAACCCTTTCGGGGGATGTTCGAGTTGGCATAGGCTGATAAATCTAAAGCGGACTGCTTAGCATCTTCTTGCACGGGGGGGGGGGGTCTCTCCTGCAAGACAAATAGCTGGATCATCGACACGGGGAGCAAACTTCTTTGATTTGGGCGGCGTCCTCGTACTCCTCTCCGCTACTCAAGACAAGTGGCTCTGCGGGCCAGTGTCAACCTCGCGGCACATGCCTCAATGGTCACTGCACGAACACCGCTCCGTCCCATTCCAAAAGAAACATTCGTGCGTGAAAATGTTGTGTGAACCTACCTGAAAAGGGAACACTGAGCTGGAATCGCAAGCATCGATGCAGTCATGCTCTGAGATGGTTTGACCAGCTGTTGCGTTGAAGGTGCATGTTGGCGGGACTGCTGGATTTTTTTGGCTTGCCCTCGAAACTTCACTGAATCCGAAAGCAGCAGCTCAGGCCGCCCTACTGCTGCTGTCCTGCAGGGCTTGAGGCGAGCCGCAATCTTCCCATTCTCTCCTGTGTTTCTTCTCCTCCCAGCTGGAAAATCTGGAGACACGGCAAAGCTTCTGGGCAAAACAAAGACAAGCCCATGATACCCGATGACAGCCCTTGAGTGGCCCAGCTGGCAAAAGCGGGCGCCAGCTTCTTCGAAGTTTTGAGGTCCAAAGTGTCGGCTGCTTCAAGTTGCATTTGCGGGTGCTGCATTTCTCACATGTGCTTTGCTCTGGCTCTGGCCTCGCGAACACTCGCGACTCAGACACAAGTCTTGCAACAACGACTCTTTTCTTTGCACACCGATCAA